CATCTCTGTCTGTCTGTGTGTGTCGTGTAGTGTCTGTCTGTGTGTCTGTGTGTCTGCCTATGTGTCTGCCTATGTGTCTGTCTGTGTGTCTGTGTGTCTGTCTGTCTGTCTGTCTGTCTGCCTATGTGTGTGTCTGCCTATGTGTCTGTGTGTCTGTGTGTCTGTCTGTTTGACTGGTTTGTCAGTGCCTTCGCTACAAGTGTAAGTTGGCAGCAGCTTACAATGCATGTGCTCTGCCATGGACACAGGTTGAAGGACACAAAGTTGACATCAGCTGCCGCCACAACCATCACAAACCTCATCAACAACAACAATACCCTCGTCCAAATCAGGTATCGTGCGCGTTCTCTCGTTTCGTGTGGTGCTGTCGTTTTGCATCTCTTTGTTGTGTTGCTCTGCGCATTATTGTGTTGCATGAGCATACGCACCTGCTATATTCAAGTGGGTGTATGCACACTCACAACAGTCACACTCACACACACTCACACACACACACACACACACACACACACTTACACACACTTACACACACACACTACCGACACCTTCGATTCCATTCGTCTTCGCTTCTTGTGCCTGCTGCAGTTTGCTGGGGAATGAGCTTGGAGAGCTTGGAGCTCGGATGATCGCAGCTGTCGTCAGGGCAACCGGAAACAACGTTCAGATCACGTGAGCTGCTGGCACTGCCTAAGCTTCACCGTCTGCCTGCCGTTCTCGTGCCTGTTGCTTCCCCCCCCCTCACACACACATACACACACATACACACGCATACACACATACACACACATACACACACACACACATACACATACACACATGCACCATGTGTGCAGGCTGCATGAGAATGACATGCCGCACTTTCGGTCGGAGCTGCGAACACCAACACTATCAGACCAGGGCACCTCCACCCCTGCTGCAGACTCGGAGCCCCCTGCGTCTACCACATTCAGCCCACCAGCACCGCTGCGCACAGCATACCCTGCTGACATGTTCACATCACCGCCCCCCAGCATGTCATCGCCATTGCCATCACACTCGTCGTCAGCGTCGTCGTTCTCGCAGCCCTACTACCGCCCGCAAGGCGACGCCGAAGTGCAGTCAACCCAGCACTCACCGCACCAAACCTCATCCACCACAGCACCCTCATCTGGGCACCACGCGCACGCGCATGCGCACAGGCCAGGCGATGCGAGTCCGATTGCAGACGCCTCTGAGGAGAAGGAGGACCTGAAGAGGAAGGTGAACTACTGGAAGCGCGAATTCGAGCGCCAGAAGCAGCGCCGCGAACGCGATAAGGAGGCGGCAGCAGAGTCACGTGCGTTGTTTGCGTGTGAATGTGTTTTGTTTGCGTGTGGTGTTTCTTTGAATGAGAGAGAGAGAGAGTGTGTGTGTGTGTGTGGTGTTTGATTGCGTGGGTGTCAGTGTGCGAATGCATGTGTGTGTGTGTGTGAATATTTACATGTGTGTGAATATTTACATGTGTGGGTGTCAATCTGTCTCTGTGATTGCAGCCCACTTATATCACTGCCTCATCACCACGCACTGACGGCCCCGCACCCAAATCGCCATGCATCATCTCAAACACATGCAGAGCGCGCGCTTGAAGAGAAATACCGCACGCAAGCTCTCCGCGCCCAACACGCAGGTGACGTTGCATGCGTGGTTGCTTGCCTGCGTGGTTGTTTGTGTTCATTGTTGTCTCTGCGTGCTCACGTCAATGCTGTTCTGTGGTACAGACGGTGTCATCTCGGAGCTGCGAACAAAAGTCGCCACCGCTGGTGAGCGAAAGCACAATATTTGCAGCCGCAGCACGCCTGGCGCTAGCTCCATGCACGCACATGCACACGCACACGCACACGCACACGCACACACATGCACTCACACACTCGCTCACATGCATACAAACTCGCTCACACACACACACACACACACACACATTATGAAGCCACGGAGCACAAAGAGACGGTCAAGCAGCTGCAGGATACCCTAGCGTTGTGGAAGAAGAAGGAAGAAAACATGCGTACGCTGAACCCTTGCACCAACATGTGGAATGCACACACTTTTCCATCGCTGTCACCGCCATTCTGCTCTCTCCCTCCGAATCAACACACACACACGCACACACACCCTACATACGCACACATATATACATACACACATACTCACGCATATCATCTGCATTCCCTTCGCTTCTACACTGCAGGGTCGAACTTGATGGCGGCACAAAAAACATTCGCGACTGTGAACAAAAAGAAGAAGGAGGCGCTGCACACAGCAGGTGCGTCTGTGTGGATGTCACGTGTATGTTGGGGGTGTGTGCGTGCGTTCTGTGCCCGATGTGTTCTTGCATTCACTCGCCCGTGGTGGCCCAAACACCACCCCTCCTCCCAAAACCAACATGTCATCCCACGTGTTCCTCACACCCAATCCCCTTCCACCCCTCCTGGTCCCCACGCGTGCACGTGTACAGAGGAGGATCTGCGGCGGGTCCGCACGGAACTGAAAGACCACAAGGAGAAGACGGCGAAGGATGCAGAGGCACGCGACCAGCAGGCCAAAGACCTTCGTACGTTGCACACGTGGTTGTTGTTGGTGTGTGTGGATGTGGATGTGCATGCGTGTGTGCGTGGATGTGCGTGGATGTACATGTGTGTAGCTATGCTATGTGCGTGTGAATGCTTGTAGTGTACAGGAATGTTAGCTTGCACGTCCCTTTCTCACCATGATTATCGCCATCATCATCGGGTGACGCTTCTGCCTCATTCCAATGCGTGTGTATGTGTTTGTGTGTGTGTGTGTGTGTGTGTGTGTGTGCGCGTGTGTGTGTGTGTGTGTGTGTGTTCACAGGGGAGAAGATTGCGGCGGCCGGAGCAGAGATTGCATCGCTTCGGAAAGAATACAGCCAGAAGCTTGAGGATGCTACAAGAAAGGCCGCTCGCCTGGGTATGTCGATGGTGCTTCAACAGTATGTATGCTCACACATGCATCTTGAATGGTCATCAGTGATACGGGGACACCCGTACGCGTGTGTGATGCACACATGCTGCCCTTTGTTTCCGTTGTTGTTCTCACACGCGTGTGAGTGTTGCTTGGTGGCTTTGTACAACTTGCACGTGAAACTTGCGGGCAGGTGAGGAGAACAAGACGCTGCAGAAGAAATTGCACGCGGCACAAGAGACCGCGTCCCTGGAGGAGCGGGAGAGGAAACAGATTGGTGAGTTGGCACACACACACACACACACACAAGGGCAAGAGGCACGTTGTTCACACACATACAAACGCACACAAGGGCAAGAGGCACGTTGTTCACAATTGCACACACACACACACACACACACACACACACACACACACACACACACACACACACACGATCAAACAAAACAGATCAGCGCCTGCGAGAGGCGACGGCGAAAGTGAAGGAATTGGAGATTGGCAAGCAGAAGTTGGGTACGTTGCTCTGTGCATGCCGATGCAGTGACTACAGTTATCCCTCTGCCGAAGTTTTTTTTTTTTTGCCATTCCTCCCATTTTGTCCCAGTACTCTAAACTCACACATTGCAATGCACATCTGCATCCCCCCCCCCACACAAACACACACACACATACACAGACGACAAGCTTGTCAAGACGGTGGTTAGTCTGCAATCTGCACAGGATCAGATGAAGGCACTTGGTAAGTGTCGTGATGTGTGACAACGCAGCTTCTCTTGTCCGTCTTCATGGGCTGTTTCCTTACTCTCGTTGGTTGTCACCCTCTCAAATGTGCATGCTGTGCTCTCCCTCACCCACCACCCCTGTCTTTGCATGTGTGTCCCTTTTTCCCTGTCGTGCAGAGCACGAGCTGCAGAAATTGAAGCAGTCGCACACCGAGGATGACGCGTACAGGGCCGCCGCCTCCGCCATTGGTGCGTGCAGGCATTCATTTCTTGGTGTCGCCCTGTCCTTTGCGACCGGTTGTTACAGACAGCTTGCCTCTGTTGCTGTGTGATGATGTGTCACTTGACATGGGATCTTCTGCGTTCTTCTCTTGATTGGTTGAAGCGCACACCCGCTGTTGTTCGCTGTCATATGTTATCAAACACGCCTTCTCTAACGTCAAACACACACACACACACACACACACACACACACACACACACACACACACACACACACACACACACACAACAGAGCGCGTGCTGAACTTCCACCTGGGCATTGATTGCGTTGAAGATCGGAAGCGTGCGCTTGGAAAGGAAGGCCCACTCAAAGGCGGACAGGGTAAAATCTGGACTGGCCTCTTTGGTGGGCTGCAGGTGGCGCTGAAGGAGGTTGAAGTGTCCCATGTCCCCGACATCAAGTATTGGCTGTGCGGGGACACGAGCAAACTCCGCCTGCACGACCGGCGTGTGCTGCGTGAGCTCAAGGCAATGGCCAGCCTGCGCCACCCGCACATTGTGCCGCTGCTGGGCACGTGCAAGGACGGCGACGACCGCTTCTTCATCATGATGCCCTGGGCGGAGCACGGCTCCCTCTCCTCCTACCTGCACGAACGGGACCCTGGCCAGGCGCCGCTGACGAAGGTGGACAAGCTGCGTATTGCGTGCGAGATTGCCAGCGGAATGGAGTTCCTGCACATGCGCAATGTTGTGCACCGCGACCTGAAGAGCGGCAACGTGCTGCTGACGGAGCACATGACGGCGCAGGTGTGCGACTTTGGCCTCAGCGCATTCAAGGCAGCAGACTCTTCAGAAGTGTCCAAGATGCCGGGCACCACGCTGTGGGCAAGCCCGGAGCAGCTGGCGGGCAAGGCGCTCAAGTCATCCACGGACGTGTTTTCGTACGGATGTGTGGTGTGGGAGCTGATGTTTGGCATCAAGCCATGGCACCACCTTGAAAACCACGAGCAGGAGACGATCGAGGCATTCTACGACAAGAACAAGTACCTTCCACTCGACAAGTCCATCAACGGGCAGACGCTTGACAAGTTGATGATTGAAGTGCTGAGCAAGTGCTTTCAGCCAGCGGATCTGCGCACCTCCTTCCGTGTGCTCCGCAAGACACTGCAGCCGCAATACATTGCCGAGAAACACCAGAAACAAGTGGACGAGGAGCAACAGCATCTGCTTTTGCATGGGCCACCAGATGCTCCCTGGAAGTTTCCCGAGGATGTGTGGGCGAAACTCTCAGACAAGGCCGTCCAGGTGCAGGCCCGCAAATCTGTCAGCTGTGCTGTTCTCGACCTCTACGACGACACCAACTTTCAACTCATCCAGCAGGTGCGCGTTCGTTTGTGCATGTGTGTGTGCGTGCGTGCGCGTGTGTGTGTATGCATGTGTGTGCGCATGTGCGTGCGTGCGTGCGTGTGTGTGCGTGTGTTAGTGTGGGATGCAACCATATGAACCATACGAGCCACACGTTTTGTTCCTCGCTGTGATGATTTGCGTGAGTGCTTTTGGATGCTCCCACTCGGCGCCCACTGCCCCACGTCTCACTTGTCGACCCCCATCCCCCCCCCAAACACGTCATGCAGCTGTTGGACGAGGCAGGCGGGCGCACGTCACGGGAGAAGGCGGAGCACCCGTTTGGGCGCCATGTTGCCGGCGCGGCGATTGTGCACTCCGACGTGAAGAACACGGCCTTCAATGGCGTCATCCAGCGCGACCAGGCCAGATTCAAGGGCAACACCACCACGGCGCACCACGTGTTTCGCCCCAAATACCAGCTGGACCAGAACGGGCACCCAAAGAACAAGGAGATGAAGCATGTGCTCGGGTACGTGTGCAAGTTGGGCGGCATGAGCAACTTCAAGTACCACCTGCTGAACCAGGACCAGTCCAACGTGCGCATCCAGCGCGTGTTCCACGGCGTGCCCTCGCTTGAAGCCGCGGTGGGCATCCTGGGTGGCGAATTTGCCCAGCTGCAGACCACGGACCAGGGCTGGTACGGCTCCGGCTTCTACTTCACGCCAGACCTCGAGTATGCGCTGGCGTACGCGCGCCCCTGCCCCGGCAGCAAAGTTCCCAAGGAGCTGCACGGCTTGAAGCTGGATGGCAAGGGCACCTTCAACGTCGTTCTCGTGTGCGATGTTGTGTACGGCAACCCATACCCCGTGATTGACCTGCAGCACGTGGGGAAGACGCTCGTTGCCGGGCACGATGCGCACGTTGTTGTCACGGACTTTACCAAGCAGGATGTCCAGCAGGCGAAACCGTTCAGGTCCCACAGTGATTGGACGAAGAAGCAAAAAGTTGGCGGCAAGAAGGTGTCTGCGCGGCCCGTGTCGGAGATTGTGGTCAACACCCCGGACGCCGTGCTCGTTCGCGCCATCCTCATCTTCCACCACGAGGCAAAGCCGGCGACGCCGTGAGCAACAAGGGGCAGCAAGACGACGAGAGGAGGTGGATATGAGGAGATGAGAGGGATGTGCTCGGGGGTGGGGGTTGTTTCCTTCCGGTTAGCAGTCCTGTTTGAACACCGTAGATGAACTAACTGTCATGTGTGTGAGTGAGTGTTGGTGTGTGTGTGTGTGAGTGAGTGTTGGTGTGTGTGAGTGAGTGTTGGCGTGTGTGAGTGAGTGTTGGTGTGTGTGAGTGAGTGTTGGTGTGTGTGTGTGTGTGTGTGTGTGTGTGTGCATTGGATTGCCTGCAAGCCAGCAATACAACGACAAAACTACATAAAATTCGATGCAACATTAACTGCTCCAGACATTCGAAGTCTTCTAAATGCGTTTAGTAGTGGCGAAGACTGACGGTTCCGCGGCTGCGTTTCGAATTTTTTGGACGCCAACAACGAAGCAAAACGGCAGCACCGCCAACCAACCAACCAACCAGCCTGCTCCGCCACCCCACCACCACCTGCTGTTGACGTGCCTGCGATTCCTTCCATGATCCTCTCACATTTCGCGCACGTCGCAAACCACGAACAGCAGCAAACGACGACAACGAGACGAGCGACGGGGCCAGCGAGCGACGAAGCAACGCCGACACAGCAGCACCAGCAGCACCAGCACCACTAGCACCAGCGGTACATTCACACAACTCCAGCAGCAGCAACAGCAACAGCGCCGGTACACCCACCGACAATGACGACTGTGGCCCACGATCCGTCAGCGCAGGAGACGCTGCGAGCAACATCTGCTGGTGAAGACAGGAGCGAGGATGTGGAGGGCGTGACCAAGAGACTGGACCAGACTGTGGTGCTGTCCAGTCCAAACCAGAAGGTGGAGAGCAGCGCGCACGCTGATGATGATGCTGGCGATGAGGGTTGCGTTGCGGCGCTGAGACGCAAGCGCAGCTCTGTTGCCAGCGACGACTTGCCAGCGCCGTTTCTCCGTGTCCGCAGCATCGAGTACGTGTATATGCATGTGTGTACATGTGCGTACGTGTAAATGTGTGTGTGTGTGTACGTGTGTGTTGGAGCGCTTGCGTGTGCGCATGTGTGTGCACACAAGTGTGCGGAGAGTGTGTGCGGTACTTCCTACTCGCATATACGTTGCTGTTCTTCAATATCAGCGGCCTTTGCTCCTGATCTCACCACGAAATCCTGAAATCTGTGTGATCTCCCGGTGTTCATTGCAGGGAGGTGGCGGCGAAGAAGAAAGTCCTCTTGCACGACGTCGACGCTGGCGCCCCGTGCCTGTCGTGTTCCGATTGTCCAGGGTAAGCACCTCCAAAACGCACACTACTAGCATTCATTCTCTCTGTTTCTTGCTGATTGATCGTCATGGTGGAAGCCACGCGGCTTCTTTGCCATCCCGAGTGGAATAGGCAGTCTTGACTGATGTCATTCATGACAACAGGGCAAGCTGGTACACACGCTCACACGCTTACACACGCTTACACGCTTACACACACACACACATACACACACACACACACACACACACACACACACACACACACACACACACACACACACACACACACACACACACACACACACACACACACACACACACACACACACACACACACACACACACACACACACACACACACAGCGCGCCACACACACGCAGCTTTCAGTTGCACGTGTGGCGAAAGATCTGCACGCACTGCCGGTGTCCGTGGGAGAACCACGACATCTTTCATGAGGACGACAACGAAAAGGAGACGACTGTCATCTACAATGAGCAAGGGCAGTCCACGCGCCAACAGGCACTCCAGTCCCTCAAGACACGTGAGTTTGAAATGAGCAGAGTGTGCAAGAGAGCGACTGAATTTACAGCCGAGTCTTGTCCGCACATCTACCCATTGTCGCACTCACACTCACACTCACTACCACTCACTTTCACACTCACACACACACTGACCACTGTCATCCACCAATCACCGAACACAACAGACCTGAAGCAGCTGAGCCACACGCAGAATCCGGTGCAGGACAAGGAAGCGCATATGTGCACGAGCATCTGCGATGATGAGACGCTCTTCAAGTTTTCGCGCCTGAATTCCCGACGCATGCGCGATCAGCGCGACTCCAACGTCTTCCCCGCGCACACTCACACCCGTGCGTGTGTATGTTTGTATGTTTGTGTGTTTGTGTGCTTGTGCGTGTGTTTGTGCGTTCGGGTTGATGCGTGTGTCTGTGTGTGTCTGTGTGTGTGCATGTGTGTGCGCGGTGAACTCCTCCACCTGCAAACCCTCCATCGCTACATCTACTTTCCGTTGATTTCACCGTCCCCTTCTCCTTCCTCCACCCGCTTATTCCGCCTTCCCTTGCAGTGACTGGGCCGTGCGCGTGCTGCCATCAGGATATCAAACCTTCAGACACGGCGACGGTTGCGCAAGTGAAAACAGGCGAGGAGCAATTTCACTTCAACTGTTTCGTGTGCAAGCAGTGTCGCGAGCCCATTGTAGGCCCAGGGTTCTATGCCTATCGATTGCGTCATCGCCAGGGCGTGGATGACGAGCTGCAGTTGTGTGCGCGCTGCCATGCAGAAAAGTATCTCCCCCGCTGCGCAGGCTGCGACGAGGTAGGTCTGTTGTTTGTTTGTGTGCTTATGTGTGTGTGTGCGTTAGCTAATGTGTGTGTGTGCGTTAGCTTATGTGTGTGTGTGTGTGTGCGTGGCTGTCAACGCGCCGTGCTTTGCTTTTGCCGATGCTTTACCAATCACCCACGTGAAATCACTGCGTCACACGTTTTCTGCTTGTGTTTCCGACACGCGTTTTATTGCAGTTGATCTTTGATCCATACTTTACGCAAGCGGAGCACAGAAATTGGCACCAGGAGCACTTCTGCTGCCACCTCTGCGACGTTCACCTTGGCGGCAGTCAGGTGTGTGTGTGTGTGCTTGTACATGTGTTTTCGTGTGTTGTGTGTGTGTGCGTGTGTGTGTGTGTGTGCGTGTGTGCGTGTGTGTGCATGTGTGTGTGTGAACTTGTGTTCACCGCTGTCAGGGAGTGCTTTCGTCCTTGCTCGTTGCATTGCGGGTTGTCGAATCTTACCTTCCCCACTGCATTCACATGCGTGTGTGTTTGGTTTTGCGATGATGAAAGTATACGAAAACGGACAGCGGTGAGCCCGTGTGTATTGCGTGCTACAACACCAAGCTTGCTCCCATGTGCCACGCCTGCAGCAAACCCATCCACACTGACCAGATGCTGCTCGAGGTAATCATGCAGACACGAGTGACTGTACGTGAATGCCTGTGTGCGTGTGTGTGCGTGTACGCGCGTGTGATGCGCTTCTGTATGTGTGAATGTGCGTGTTATGCGCTTCTCTGCGCGCGTGTAGGCGTGTGTGCCTTCATCATGCCACCCCCGTATTGCTTGCAACAGCTGCTTATGTTTCTTTCCTCACCGCACACTCCGCCTCCAACAGATTGGCGATCGAAGTTTCCACGGCGATCCTGCATGCTTCCACGTGCGTGCCATCGTGCCGATGCACACACAGAGACACACGCGTGGCTGTGGCATTTGCTCCATCATCACACTTCAGCACGATGTGATGCTTCACTTAACGTTCTTCTCATGTTGTTGTTGCCACTGGATACTCAACTGCCACCTCTTGCGTTCATTCACAACCTCCCATCACCACGATGCTTGGCGCTCATTCCAAATGCGTTGCGATAGTGTGTAACTTGTGGAGATCATCTGTACTCAGAGGAAAAGGGTGGAAATGGCGTTTTGCTCAACGATCGCCTCTACTGCAGAAAACACGCGGCAGAGGTAACGTTTTCGCTGCTCTTGTTGTTGTTGTTGTTGTTGTTGTTGTTGTTGTTGTTGTTGTTGTTGTTGTTGTTGTTGTTGTTGTTGTTGTTGTTGTTGTTGTTGTTGTTGTTGTTGTTGTTGTTGTTGTTGTTGTTGTTGTTGTTGTTGTACACTCCGCCTCCAACAGATTGGCGATCGAAGTTTCCACGGCGATCCTGCATGCTTCCACGTGCGTACCATCGTGCCGATGCACACACAGAGACACACTCGCGGTTGTGGCATTTGCTCCATCATCACACTTGAGCATGATGTGATGCTTCACTTAACGTTCTTCTCTTGTTGTTGTTGCCACTGGATACTCAACTGCCACCTCTTGCGTTCATTCACAACCTCCCATCACCACGATGCTTGGCGCTCATTCCAAATGCGTTGCGATAGTGTGTAACTTGTGGAGATCATCTGTACTCAGAGGAAAAGGGTGGAAATGGCGTTTTGCTCAACGATCGCCTCTACTGCAGAAAACACGCGGCAGAGGTAACGTTTTCGCTGCTCTTGTTGTTGTTGTTGTTGTTGTTGTTGTTGTTGTTGTTGTTGTTGTTGTTGTTGTTGTTGTTGTTGTTGTTGTTGTTGTTGTTGTTGTTGTTGTTGTTGTTGTTGTTGTTGTTGTTGTTGTTGTTGTTGTTGTTGTTGTGGTAGTGGTAGTGGTGGTGGGAGTTTTGGTTGTAGCTGGCCGTTGTTGTTAGCTGCCAGTGATGCGCTCGCTTCTGCGTGCCTGCAAGCAGCTTGTGCGCGTGTTTTTTCTGTGATGCGTGAGGCTCACATGGCTGTTGTTTGGTGATGCACTCGTTTGCTTGCAGGCAACAGAGGCGCTGACGGTTCGCTGTTTCGTCTGCAGCCAGGAAATCACAGAGAACCACATCAAGGTATCTCGGCATGTGTGCTTTCTTGTGTATGGTTGGGGAGGCAGTCAAAGAGACACACAATGCATCATCATCATGATCACCGTCATCATCATCATCATCATCATCATGACCATCATCAGCGTACCGCCTGGATCATCTGCAGCATTTGGTACGCGGTCATGAGCCGCGGGCGCGAGTGGAACCCAAGCGGATCAGCGAGACTGCGCTCCAGGGCCTGATGCACACACACACACACACACACACACACACACACACACACACACACACACACACACACACACACACACACACACACACACACACACATGGAGAGGTAAGCACATGCCGTTGTTCAATCACAACCGCCCCCGCCTCTCCACATAGCCGCCATCAATACGACTGCTGCGACGACAACGACGACGATGCGAACCTTTGGGTCCTTGAAGCAGAGGTGCTCTGTTGGGGTGACGGGCGTGAGTGGCGCCCACGGCAGCACATATGCTGTCCAGTACATCATGTTGATCTGTTGGAGTGGGTTGGAGTGTTGGAGTGGGTTGGAGTGTGATGGTGTGTGTGTATGTGTGTGTGTGTGTGTGTGTGAGTGCGAATTTAAATGAGATTCAACGTTAGAAAGGGATCGTTCGAACAGATACAGGCATACACACACGCACACACACAGACACACACAGACATAGAGACACACGCAAGCACACCATTGCGCACCAGCCATTGTGGCAGCATCATCTCGTCTGCAATCTTGCACATTGGCGCCAGGAGCACCACGCCCGACACAATCTGGCGCACGCGGCTGTTGGGGGCCGCCAGCAGCAGCGTCAATGCACCGCCCATGGACTGCCCTGCACACATGCAAATGCATGCAGACAGAGCAGAATGTGGACGTGTAAACAACGTGCATGAGGTGGCGTGCGGCAGTTTGCACAGGGAACGGTCACATGAGGGCATGGATGCAAGAACACATGAGTGCAGCAGCTGCCACTTCAAAATCACGGCTCCTACGTATTGATTTCAACACACACACACACACACACACACACACACGCACACATATACACGCACACATACACGCACACACGCACGCAGTACGCACCGATGATGAAGCATGGACGAGTGATGCCCTGGTCGGTAAACTCCTTGAAGACCGCGGTCATGTAGTCGGCAAAGTCATCGACAAGATGCTGATAGTCGTTGACAAGGCAGCGCAGTCCTGCAGCAGTGGGATAGTGGGGCGGTTATCAGCAATGTGTGGGTGAGGGGTGTGGCTACATCTGTGGGTGGTGACTGCAAGGGAAGACATCCTCTGCACAAACGCACATCGTTTGCAAAACACATCACTTGCACAATCGCCCATCGTTCACACCTTCAGAGTGTCCGTGTGCATGGTGTGAGACGCCAAAGACGGCAAAGCCTTGCTGCATGAGCTCTTCACTGCCAACACGCTCCGCATACGCGCTGCACACAAGACAACAAGAGAGGAGGACAGTAGTTGGGTTGGGCCCAGAGTTGACAGAACACATCACACACAGATGTGTGCGATCGCATCTACAGCTGGAAATGCAAACATGATTACAGACACAACAACACAACGCACACAAGAAGCACCAATCAAAACAACACACTCACTCGATGTGATGAGCGTAGCCGTGGGCAAGGAAGATGAAACCGCGGATGCTGGTGCGGTCCTCAGGCACCCAGCGCCGCTCATCCAACCGCACGCCCCGCTCCGTTACAAAGCTTCTCCTCTTCTCCACACCACCACCACGAGCACCACTCATCGTCAGTCTTGTTCTCGTTGTTGTTTCTTCTTCTTCTTCCCACTGACTTCAATGTCACGAAAATCATGAATAACACACATAGCTATCGTTAGTTCTGCCAAACAACAAACAACCACGCCTCACTCAACGCAAGAGAAGCAAGCACCCTCTTGTCTGTGTGTGTGTTGATCTCGCTCACATCAGGACACGGACGCATCGTCACGAACGAGTTGGCAGCGGAAAACCAGACTGGGTGTGAGATCACATCGCGCACTAAACGCACGCACGTACGCACACACATATACTCATACGGATACAACTGCACGTCTGTGCACACATCTGTACGCACGCATCTCTCCAACCAACAGCATGTCACTGTTTCGGAAGCTGAGCTCCAAGAAGAAAGTGCGTGGCCCGCGCACTGCCACCACACACGATGAGCCACAGGATGAGCAGCAAGAACAGCAAAAAGCCAAGCAGCAGGGTCAGGATCAGCCAGATCAAGCCGAAGGGGCCGACGATGATGGCATGGAAAGCTCAGAGGAAAGCTCACCCGGCCAAAGCAGACTGGTACGTGAATGACTGAATGAGTGCGTGTGTGCGTGAGAGAGTGTGTGCGTGTGTGAGTGAGTGAGTGCGTGTGTGAGAGTGAGAGTGAGTGTGTGCGTGTGCGTGTGCGTGTGTGTGTGTGTGCAAGTTTGTACGTGTGCCTGGATGTCTTGCGTTTGCTGCGGCGCGTTGCTGGGACATCTCACCGCTGCATGCCCTTTTGCAACTGGTTGGCAGAGACGCACACCGACGAAGAAGGGCGTGTTCCGCCGCGTGTTCTCCTTCAAGCGTAACACGTCCACGACTGCGTTTGAACCCGCCGCCCGCAAAGACGAGGACGTGGTGCGTACATTTGGGACGCGCTGATGCATGGTGGTGGTGCGCGCGCGCGCGTGTGTGTGTTGATCAAAGCTGCAGCGAGAGGGCTGATGTCTTGGATGCCGATAGCATTGCGCTTGCTGCTGCTGCTGCTGACACTGGACTTCGGTGTTCTTCGTGTTCAGGATGCGATGCCAACAATGGAGGTGGCATGGACGACCGATCTTGGGTTCCACCACGAAGCAAACGAGGACAAGGCCACCATCATCGAGGACCTGTTCAAAGAGTTCCCGCCAAAACACGAACACGAGGTTGTAGTTGTGTTTTTTGCTTGTGTGCCTGTGTGCCTGTGTGCCTGTGTACCTGTGAACCTGTGTGCTTGTGTGCTTGTGTGCTTGTGTTTGATTTGTACGTGTGTATGCTACTCGTTGGCTGTCTGGCGCGCGGCGTTGGTGCTGGTCGTGTATCCGCTGGGCGACAACAAATCCTGTTTGCTCGATGGTGGCATCTCAACGCGTGTTCATGCACCGTTCTCGCATCACCTGCAGTACAACGGCACGCCCCAGCAGAAGCTGAGTGTCTTTGCTGTCTTTGATGGTCATGGTGGCTACGAGGCATCGGAGGTGCGCTGCTTCTTGGGTCTTGTTGCTGCATGTGCTTTGCTGGGGTGCTGTGCATGCGTGGGTGAGTGTGTGAGTATATTTGTGTGTGTGTGTGTGTGTGTGAATGAGTGTGTGTGTGAATGAGTGTGCGTGCGTGCGTGCGTGCGTGCGTGCGTGCATGTGTGTGTGTGTGTGTGCATGTGCATGTGTGTGTGTGTGTGTGTGTGTGCATGTGTGTGTGTGTGTGTGCTCTTGAAACCGCAGCAGCAGCATCTCAACTCACGCGACACCACCTCCCCGCCCATCTGTGGTTCGGTTTGCAGTGGGCACAAACGCACCTGCACCAGCACCTGAGCGATCTGCTGTGGCGCAGCAACTACGACGACAAAATCACAGACGCCCTTCACCACAGGTGCGCTTACGCTATCACGTCGTGGCATTTTGTTGCGTTGGGGGTTGTGTGGCCTGTGTGACTGGACGTGCATGCATTGGAGGGCACTCGATATGCTTTCAAGCTGTCGCCACTCACAACATACCCTCGCATCACCACCACCACCACCACCATCACCATTATCGCTGCAGCTTCAAGGCGACGGAGGACGGGTTTTGCGAGTGGGCGAAGAAGAAGAAGAACATGGCTGGATCGTGTGCCACGTGTGTCGTCATCAAAGGCCGCAAGGTAACGCCATGACCAGGGACGCGGGACATGGAAACGTGACGCGATGTGTTGTGTGTGTGTGTTGAGGGGGTCTGTGGAGGAGTGTATGATTGGCCGTGATGTGGTGGCGGCTGCCAGTTCGACTCTGATCACCACCACCACTACCGTCATCATCACCACCGCCACCATCATCATCATCATCATCATCATCATCATCATCATCATCATCATCATCATCATCATCATCATCATCATCATCATCATCCTCATCATCATCATCATCATCATCATCATCATCATCATCATCATCATCGCCACCGTCGTGTGTCAGGTGTTTTGTGGCAATGCTGGCGATTCCAAAGCGATGATCATTCGTCAGGTCCGCAAGCAGACGCCAAAGGTATCGCCCCATCGTCACCATCGTCATTGTTGTTCACCTTGTGGTGGAAAGTGTGGAATGGGGGTGACAGGTGCATCGTTGTGTTTCACTCATGCGTTGTCACAACTGTCACTAAATCTCATGTCAATGTGCTCCGTCACACACACATACATACACACACATACACACACACACACACACACACACACACACACACACACACCACAACAAACAACTCATCTAACACCCCCCTCCCTCTCTTCGTGTGCGCCAGGCTGCGGACCGAAGCGACTTGAACCACCGCCACGGGTCGCACCTCAAGTCCGAGCGCGTGCGCATCAAGAAGGCGGGCGGTCGCATCGCCCCCGACGGCAGCGTCTACGGCGTCCTCTTTCCAACAAGGGGGTGAGGCGTTGATGTGCGCGTGTGTGTTTGTGTGTATGAAGATGTGTGTGTGGGTGTGAGTGAGTGAGTGTGAGTGAGAGAGTGAGAGAGTGAGAGAGTGTGTGAGTGAGTGTGTGTGTGTGTGTGTTTGTGTAACTGGTCGAGGTTAAGGGGTTTGGTCTTCAGGCACGCTGCGTTTCCTGCAGTGATGATACCTGTTCGTTCTCTCCTCCCACGCCCCCCCCTCTCATCATCACCACCACCACCACCACCAACTCCACTCCGTTGACGTGCCAGGTTCGGGGACATTGACGTGAAGGCGGACGGGCGTCCTGTTGTGATCTGCACCCCCGATGGCGCCGGCTTTGACAAGTGGTCGCCATATGTGCTCGACACGGACACCGTCTCCTACCTCGTCATCGCAAGGTGTTGTGTTGTGTTGTGTGTAGGTTGCTCCATATTCACTGCCTTCTATCTCGCCTTGTCCGCATCATCATGCTCACACCACGATCACTACCCTCACGATCCACCCCCGCTACAGTGACGGCCTGTGGGACTTTGTGTCGGACAAGGACGTGGAGGCACTGACCATGCAATACGTGAGCACGACAGCACCACCCCACCGATCCCTGTTCATGCACACATGTCTTTGCTGTGGGGATGGCGGTGATCAGAGAAGCTTCGTTCATCACGAGTGCTGGCAATTACCACCAGCACACCTTACCGTCTCCACCAACCACATCCATCACAACTCATCCCAACTTGCTCACCACCACCACGACCACAACCACGACCACAACCACGACCACAACCACGACCACAACCACGACCACGATCGAATGACGCGTGGCTGCAGCAATCGCCGAAAGAGATCGCTGTTGAGTTGACGAAGGAGGCGCGAATGGGGGGCAGTGAAGACGACATCACCATCATCGTCGTCAGGTCAGACAGTTGTTGTTAAGTTGTTGTTTAAGTTGTTGTTTAAGTTGTTGTTGTTGTTGTTGTTGTTTAAGTTGTTGTTTAAGTTGATGT